CCTAAGCGTATTTCTCGGGTGAAGGGTGAAGCTACTACCTCTCAAATTCAGTCGCCATCTTGGATTTGGGGCACCCTCTTTGACCGGGGTTTTTTTATGACTGCATGCTTGAAATGTGCGACTAAAGTGATATAAGAATTGAAATCTAACTTGTCTAATCACATAAAATCCAAAAAATGCTCCCTCCTACCTTTCAAAATTGGCAGCCATCTTGGATTTAGGGTACCCCCTTTGAAAAGGAGGCCTTTATGACTTCATATATGAAATTCACAACAAAAATCTTATCAGAATTGATATCTGATATTGATATCAGATGCCTGATCACGTAAGAATTTAAAAAATACACCCTCCTGCCTTTCAAATTTGACCGCCATCTTGGCTTTTGGGACACCCTCTTTGACCGGGGGGGAGGGGGGAGTTGGTTGGTGGGGGTGTTATGACTTTATATATAATGTGGGTGACCAAAGTGACATTGGAATTGATACCTAACTTGCCTAATCACTTATAATTTCAAAAAATGCACCCTCCTGCCTTTTAGATTTGGCCGCCATCTTGGATTTAGGGTACCCCCTTCGACCAGGAGGCATTTATGACTACATATAAAATTTACGAAAAAAGGTACATCAGAATTGATATTTCAGGTGTCTGATCAAGTAAAAATTTAAAAAATACACCTTGCTGTCTTTCAAATTCGGCCGCCATCTTGGATTTGGGGCACTGTTGTGGATTGGAGGGCTTTTATGACTTCACATTTGAAATCGACGACCAAATTTACATCAGAATTGATACCTCACTTGCCCAATAACGTAAAATTTTTAAAAAAAATGCACCCTTCTGCCTTTCAAATTTAGTCGCCATCTTTGATTTGGGGCTTTTTCGTTGACCGGGGGGCTATTATGACTTCTTATATGAAATTCTGAATCCTTATATGGAATTTTGGACCAAAATTTCATAAGAATTGATATCTCACTTGCCTAATCACGTAAAAATTTACAAAATGCACCCTCCTGCCTTTCAAAGTCAGATATATTGAATTCGGGGCAGTATCTTTGACTGTGGAGGGGGGGGGTGGCTGTTCTGACTTCATACATTAAATCTACTACCAAAATGACCCAGAAAATGATACCTCACATGCCACTCTTTATTGACCACAAATATTCTTTAGTTTTTTCCTGCCCCCCCCCCTCCCACAAAAAAATAAGTTTCCCCTGGAACTTCAAATATACACCCCTTTTTCTTTTTCTTCTTTTCCCCCATTCCTTCCACCCTAATTCTGTGTAGTCACAAAGTTTTTGGATTTTGACCTTTTTCATATTCATTTAAAAAAAATTTTGCTTATGTTTGAAATTTCAATTTTGATTTTTTTTTATATTTATTTTCATCTTGACTGCCGTTCTCCACTCGCTGGAACCCCCCCCTCCCCTCCTAAACCTGACCCAAAAATGATATATGTGATAATCGATATTACTAAAATTAGAAAGTTGAAATCATACATACATACAAATGTACTCTATGTACTAAAATCCAATGTGGTCAGCAAAGTGGTATGACAGTTCTACCACTTTTCCTACCCCTACAGAATTTTTCAGAAGGGATGAAAAAAAATTTTGAAGCGTTTTTTGTGCTTATCTTTATCATTAAATTTGAACCATAACATTTTTTTTAAAAAAATGAAATTTTTTTTTTCCGTGCAACAAAGGGTTAAGTGAACCATACTTTTATCTACTTCATGAAAATGTTAACTTTTCACAGAGAACTGTTTTCGTGGCAGCTTGGTCATGGCTTTCTCGAGCGCTTTTAAAAACAACGTTTTTGAACTTCCTTTCCTATCATTTCTCTTACTCTCGCGTGAGCTTTTGCTGTGCTTTCGCAAACGTGGCAACGGAGCGACAATAGGGTCTGCAGTTAAATTCAAGGATCAACAAAGCACGAACGGCAGAGAAAGCAAAAGTGGTTCCGTTTTATCTCGACTTGGTGACATGGAGCATTAAAGCTCGCCGGCATTGCGGATGAACGCAGCGGATCGAGGAAGTGTCCCCCATTCCCCTCCCTTCCTACACCCCACTCCCCAACCGCTCCTTCCCATCAAAGCTCGACTTATTCGCTGCCCCTGAATTCATTGAAACGCCGCAAGCTCTGATCCTCAACGGAAGTTACCATTCACCCTTCAGGGTTCGTGCCGCTTTAAAAAATGATTGAACATGTCGTAGTCAAACCCCGAATCCTGGTCACATTGTCATGCAACTGGAAAATCTAACGTAATTGAGCAGCATTAGTTCGCAAAGGTTAGATTAGGTTAGGGTAGGTTTTGGTTAAGTTAGGTTTGGTTCAGGTTAGATTAATCGAACGTAATTGAGTAATTTTAGTTTTTCAAGGTTAGATTAGGTCAGATTGGAGTTTACTCATCGGTTTCCGGTATTTGACCAGGATTCAGGATTTTGACTTCAACAAATATACTTGAATTTTTTCTCTAATTTTCAAATCTTCGTATATTTCTGAATTTCAGGAAATGTCCCAAATGCACTCTAAATTACCTGAATCAGCAGAATTTTATATGGTTATCTCATTTACGATCACTCTAAAGATCTCTCTTATTACTGTGATTTCCTTTCGCTTCATGAGGAGATTCCCCAAAATGCCCAATACAGTCGATGGTCGACGTATACTAAAACAAGCAGTAAGCTCCAACGCATTCGCGTTGGAAAGCGGCTCTGGCGACGGTAGTTGTAGTCAAGAATGAGGGCCAAAACTAATCGGAACTTTATGAATAAATTGCTCCATTTAAAAATCAAAACAATATCGAATTGCGATATATTACACGGATTAGATAGGGCTATGTCCTGTCGTAAGCGGCTACATAGAGTCGATGTCATTTCAATAATCGCCCCGATGGCCACGATAGTTGTTAAACGTTTACGGTTTCCTTGGTAACCTTTGTTTGCTATCAGCTGATATCGAGTAATATGCCTAGGAAGCTCCAACCACTGCATTCTTCCAAAAAACCGCGAAAACTTTAAAATTCAAAATTTCAAATTTTGAACGTAAAGTACATTTTTTCCATCACCTGATTAAAGCACAGACAAGTTTTGAATTATTGACTGTATCACCATGATTCCAAAAATACACTACACAACATAGCATTGGCTAACAATAAAACAATATGCAATAAAATAAAGTCATGACAAGGTACATAGTCGGAAATGGCGCCGATTCCCATCAACCAACGCGCGGTCTCTCCAATGTAACATGGTCCATTGATACTCCCCAGCTGGGACCGTCCGGAATAGCAGCTCTAGTGCAAGCACCAGAGCCGCTAAAAAAGTTACGGGCTTTATAGACATAGTTCCGGGATCGAAGGCCAAAAATTCCGGATGCTGCCGGGATTTTTGGCATTTAAGCCTGCTACGCGGATGGTATGTCTAAGTAGCCCGCAGGTACGGCTTCCATGACCGGAGTTTGATTTTCAGTCAAGTATTTTATCTTTTTTCCATTAAGTAGTAATAAAAATTATTGGAAGAGGAAACTTCCATTTTGAAGTAATTCTTAAAAACCTTTGAAAATTGAGAAAATTGGTGTGTGCATGCTTTCGGAAGTCGTTAATTCTTCCAATTAGAGATCGAAAGTCCTTGAAAAGCCTTAAGTTTTTTCACGGTAAGCTGTCACGAGCCGTGTTTTTTCATCGTGAGTGAAAAATTCCATTAGAGGCTACTTTGATGTCTTAAAGTCGAATTATAATAGAGGTGCGGTAGACTCGGGTTGACCGCAAGCTTGGTTAACTAAACCGCAGGTACCGTCATTGACTATTCAATTTCTCCTACTGTGGGTTAAGAAGTTGAGGCGTAGCATCAGCATCAGTTACATGTGGATATCATGCATTTCTTAGCGATTAACAGGTAGGTCTTTCAAAAACAGGCATCCCTAAGAAAAAGTTCACTATCTTTTGGCCATGGTATAGATGCCCACAGACAATGTGTTATATAGATACTGAAGACCCCAAACTACGTATCTCGATTTGCAGACTTCTTATTATACTTACTTTTTGTTTAAAAAACTACTTAACGTCAATTCTTTAAAACATCCTTGATTTTTCCTCTCTGTGCGTAGAAAACTTTGTGAAAACTTGAAGGGCTAATGTTGGTTTATTCTCCTTCAATAAAATAAGAAGGAAGCGGAGACTCTGAAACATCGCAAACGAGATACGTGGTTTGGGAGTTTGTGTAGTCGATATGTAGAAAATATTAATGATGATGTAGTCTTAAAAGCTTATTAGCTTTTACACATTTTAAAAAAAATCCTTATCCGATACAAGTCCAGCGGAAAAAGTTCTAAACTTTTCCAAAGCATTTGTTGTGTATTTCGAGCGAATTTACGCAAAAAATACCTAGCGTAGCCCCATCAAATATTTGCGACGGTCACATATTTTGAGTAGATCGCGTTTAGCAGAAAGGAACCAAGTCACAGCAGCTATTGCCTCTAAGGGGGCGATTTAATTTTCCACCAGAGAACGTCTGAGCGGATTTCCTTGAAAATGTACTGAAATTCGCACAAGAATCCGCAAAACCGTTTTCATTTACAAAACTAAACTGCCCGATTAAATTTGGCAATAGCTGATGTGCTTGGTTCCTTTTTGCCTAACGCGGTCCAAATAATATACAGTTTTAAATTCACGGAGAAAAAAACGTCGTGCATGGGATCCGAAGTTGAGGTCATATGGATCTCTGACGTTTTCCGATCGCGCATCCGAAAACTTGAGGTGGAGCTGCCGAAGTTCGGGTCAGACATCGAGACACTTCGGTATATGCACCGGAGTACTTCAGATGTGTGACCTGAACCCTTCGGTATATCGAAGTACTTCACATGTCTGAGCCGAACTTCGGCAGCTGGACCTCAAGTTTTTAGATACGTGATTCGAAAACTTCAGAGATCCATATGACCTCAACTTCAGGTCCCACACCCGAAGTTTTTTTCTCCCTGTTCGTCGTTTGAGAGTATGATCTTACCTAGAGGAGTGTTCCACGGCGAATCTTGAACGGTAAGGTAACCTCCAGTGGCATGATGGCGCGTGTCTTTAGCCAAGTACGGGTTCCTCTGATCTTCGGATTTCTTGAAGTACGGGAGGACGCTCTCGTAGTCCCAGCCGTAATTTCCCATGGCCGCCCAATTGTCGTAGTCCCGCCTGTTTCCACGGACGTATAACATGGTGTTCAAGACACTGGATCCACCGATTACCTTGCCTCTCGTCCAACGACACCTGTCAAACAGAGGATGATGAGAGTGAAATTGGAAGCACGTGCGAGAAATGACAGCAAGAAAATAGGAGTAAGGAAAATTGTAAGAGGCTGTCTTCGCTCTAAGTAGGTGGATGTGGAAATGTGATTTTCCCTTTGAATCTTGAAATGAGGCAGCTTTGTTAGTCCTAAAATCGGGTTTAGATGGTTGAATCCTGTGGTGCAAGAGAACGTTAGTGCGGATTTTTTGAACATTTTAAGGTATTTGCTTCGCACTATGCAGAAAATGTATTGAAATTTGCACACAAAAAATCTGCACAGCCGTTTTCATTTAAAATATTACTTAAATTGCCCAATTAAATGTATCAATAGCTGTGGCTTGGTTCCTTTCTGCTTAACGTTTTCCAAACATAATAGAATCTGTAACTCCAATCAGAATGGACTCGAAGAAACCAGAAGGAAATTTATCGCTTAACAGCTATATCGCCCTCAATTCTTGAGATAGGCCAAAATATATCCTCCGTGCAGCAATAATATCTACCTGGGAATATGCGTCTTGTATTTTCTGCAAATCTTCTCACACAGTAAATTATTTTAAACGCTAATAATTTTGAAGCCACAAGGGCGATAACTCTGTCAGTAAGAAAGGCATTGATACTTAGAGATATACCAGATCGTTTTGTTTCCAACCCAAACACCCGTAAGATTCAAACTTTAAAGCATCGACTCTTTGAGAGGCGCAGCTGATCTAAGAATTTGACCTTTGATCAAATACTAATGCAACTAATCAACTCAATTCAAATATCAAGACATGATACTACTAAGATAAAGTGACTGAACCAGAAAAGTGTCAAAAATTATGCTAAATTTCAGACTCTGATTCTACTCTACACTAATTATAAACTTCCGACAAATATAAGGAAAATTATCGATTCTATAGCCACTAAAAATCCCAGCCAAAGCCCTCTAAAAACCTCTATCATGCACGTTTTAATCAGTAATGCTAGAACAACGTCATAAATTGAGATTTGTAATACTTTAAAACCGTATTCCGTATGGTATAAAGAGAATCCAGCACATCTTCTCCAAACTATCACTATAAGATACGCATTCGGCAACACTGTGCATAAACATGATGGTATTAGGCATCTAATTGGTCATGCTCGTTAATATTGAATCGAGTCCGCTCACCAAGCCTTTCTGAACCGGTGCATGTCGTTCGCACAAGTTTTTATTTTTATGAGATTATCAGCTACTTCCCTCCTTTCCTGCAACTTACACTCTCTCACTTTTCGTTGAAACGGTTTGTTTTCAAACTGTCAGCTTTCGCACGAACACCAGAAGTATATTGTGGTGAATAGTGAAATAAGTACTTTGTCTTTAATGCTCCGTCATTTTAGTACAAATATTGTTTCATCTGTTTACATTTGAGATAATTAGGGACTCTAGGAATTTTTTTATCATGCCCCTGGTAAAAATTGGCGATAAGAGCAGCGTTTCAAACTACCATAGGAATTCTTATTGCCGGCTAAAGAAGGCTACAGAAAATCATATAGCTGGCTGTAGAATGCGGAGAAAATCATACGGCCGGGCTATACGAAGCGATAAAAAATTATGCAGCCGGGCTATAGTTCCTGTCGCCGAGCTTTACACTTCATCGCCTGGCTGTTACTTTTTCGCCATCGATTATAAAAGGCCATAAGAAATTGTGTAGAAATTCGTGTGCTTTGAAAATCATTAAGTTTGATACGGAACCACCTTAATATTTACAAAACACACATTATATTTTCCTTTAATACATATTTTTTTTTCATCAATTAAAATGAGAATAATCCATACAGGATGTGCAAACATTTCAAAATCATGAGTTGAATAACGCTGACTCCGCCAGATTAAATATTAGAGCCTAACACAAAGCGGAGCGGTGACGCACTGGCGCCTACAAACCCAACAGGGATACTTCACGCATTGCGCAACGCGTGAAGTATCCCTGTTAGGTTTGTAGGCGCCAATGCGCGTTTCGCGATGACTGCCCGCCTGCCGCACGGCAGCTTGCCACGGCGCTTGAAGCAACTATTTCACACCAGAGGTATTGCACAGTATCATACGAAACTGAAGGCGCTCTAATGTATTAGTAATGGCAGGCATCCATCACAAGTACGGAGCTTTCCTCGCAAAATAAATCAAGATACTACGGCCCAAAAAGAGAGCAGTATTCCAAAAACTCACTAAGTCCTAGCATCCGTAATTAGTAACGTTTAGCATACACGTTTTCGCCTGGCTGTGGCTTAATCGCCATCGGCTATAAAAGGCTATAAGAAATTGTGTAGCCGGCTATAGAAGCTATTGGAAATCTTACAGCCGGCTGTAGGTCTATAGTATTTTGGAACACAGTTCTACTGCCAATTTTTAACAGGGGCTCATAACGATCGGGTAATACTCGTAAATAGTTAAAAACCGGTGTTAATACTACTGTTGGGACAGACCGGACAGAACGATGTTTTTGTTAGCTTGATCCTCACCTGAACGTAACGAAAATAACAGTAATAATGGACGTGATTTTTTAGAAAATTAGTACAGCGAAAGTTGTAAGAATAAAAGTTTCCTTACCACAATAATATTTTTCAATTGACTTTTGACTTAACGGTAGGAATTCTATCGGGAAGAAGAAACTCTGATTGTCCCAACTGAAAATTTATTTTTCCCAATCAATTTCTCTCCTAAGGAACAAGAATTCTTTTCAGTGCCATAACTAACTGCTAAGGAAAGCAGTCTTCTTCACAGTATCCAAGTATTTTCATTAGTTTTATTTCCTTTGAATTTCAATGTTTAAGATCTAAATATACACACACCATCTCAAAGTGAAATGCTGCATGGACACTCGCCTATTGCCATATCTCCGCTAGTGAGAACTCAGTTTTTTTTATGTATAAAATTAATATGCTGCAATATTTTAACAAAATTTAATGTGTTTTTGGTGTCAGAAAATTTATAAGAAAAATGCTTATAACTTTCCTTGAAAAAAGAAAAATGATATTACCGTCAGAAATGGACAACGTCCAACTCTTTGCACGGTGTTTTCCCTCAGCACGGTAGAATAGAGCCTGGATACAACTATTCGTACTTGGCGATTGTCTATGTTGCATATGCAAAAAACCGAAGGCGCACTACGCGTTTGACGTTGTTTTCATGGTACAGAATGGATGCGACTCTTCCTGTTCGGTGGTTGTCCGTGTTGCATACGCATAAGTTGGAAGGCGCTTCGACACTTCTGGCGCTTGTTGTCTTTACACAGAAATAGATTAGTGCAGTTTCAGCCGCGATACGCACCGAAAAGCTCCACAAAATCCACAAAAAACTCTTTGGATAAAATGTGCCTATCGTGTATCATTAATCTCTGGCGCCTTGAAAAACTTCGTAAAGCAATGAACATGGTCGTAACTAGTGTTGTTTCAAACAGCATTTTGTCCCCTCTTGGCCAAATTAGTAAAAGCGTCATTTACGCTCGTACGCTGTTCCCGAGTATCTCAATATTGTTTTAATTTTGTCTTCACATCTAATAGTCTGAGAGCCAGAATATATTTAGTGACAAAATCGTGACACGAGTTTTAATCGCTTAAATCTGCACTATATCACGAAAAAGTCTACGTCATAGCATCTGCTACAACGTGGCAGACAACATGTCACGGAGTGTAAGGCTATCGATTTAAGTGGTCAAAACTTGTGTCACAAGTTTGTCACTAAATGTCATCTGGTTCTCAGACTATAAGCTGCACAAATGGCACTTGTGATACTTTGACCGGAAGATGACGATCTCTATGTAGAATTTCGTGCTCCGGTAAGCTTTTTCCCACTATGTAGTGCGAATCTCAGTTTCCTGAATTTTAACGGAAGTTTGCAAAATCACTAACAGTCTAATGCATACCAGTTCTCCATTGGGGTAAGAATAATACACTTACCTTCGATCGATCATGGCGCCACAGGCCGTACTCTGCGGTTGCGTTTTGTACTTCCAATCGAATTTACTTCCATGCAAGTACAACGACAGCACCGGCACATCCGTAAGTTCCGTCTCATGTCCACCAGCCTCCAGCAAGAGCGTATTCCATTCGGGCACCTCCGTCAACCGGTTGGCAACGACTGCCCCAGCGGAACCACCACCGATGACGATAAAATCATATTCCTTGTACAGATTCCGCTCGTTGATCGGCCGATTCTCCGGGTCGTACAGATCGTAGTTGTAGTAGAGCAACGCGCCTAGGAAGGTAGGCAGAAAGAGGAACTTCCCACCACCGACCAGACCTGTCGCCGCTTTGATGGCGCTGATCACAACTGTACCGATGTGCACCATTTTGCTGACCGATGAGTTTCCGATTAACTAGCGATTTTCTTCAGAAAACAGTTTCAGGAGTAACAGGTTTATTTTTTGACGACTTCTTACTAAACCTCTTTGGTAGTTTTTCTTTTATGTTTTCAGTTTGATGAAGTTATCCGAGAGTTGATTTTATTTTAATTTGTTTCTAATTGCAATATACCCGACTTTTACAACTTTTCGTCTTCGATTTCAATTTAATAAATTTCTAACTACACTAATTATCACAAATGGTCAGGTACAAAAATTAAACTATTTAATTCACTACTGACTGGTAATTTGTCAAGACCTAAGGACTACTTTAGGGACTATCTGGTTTGTATGAGCAGTTATAGGATTTCTATATTTTTTGTGTTTAGTTTTTTGGGGTGTTTCGGAATTCCAAATTACCCAGGAGAAAATTCGAAATAGAATAAAAACAAGACGAATTTTCGATAGAAAGTGAAGACATGAATGTGAGGGAAATGCCTTCTGGTCATCGGATAAAGAGCAAATTGACGTAGCAAGTAACTTTTACCACAAGCACTATATTTTAATGCAAATTATTCTAATGTTCCTCCCTAATTACATTTTGTCGAAGGATCATCTCATCTTGCACCTAGAATCGCCTTTGTTGACGAATATCCTTGTTTCTTCGCGGCTCAACATGTTTATCGTAGTGTCGGATTACGTCACAAAAGTTTCACTAGCTGATCTTCCTGAGTTTTCACCTCCCTAATATCTGCACTTTCTTTCGCGTTTCCTCTTCTATGGTCACAATGCCTGTTGTGTGATCCTTGTCTTCTTTGTCGTTTTTTTACAACCTGAAACAGAAGAAAGAAAAACGTTCATTAACTTTCAGGCAATAAACACGACAATGACCTGCAATTTCAATGCACGTATAGTGTCCCTTCGTTCATGTAGGAAATATCTTTCAGACAGTGTAGATTCTTAAAACTTGGCAACACTGTATTTCCTCCATTTATATCTATGTAAAACAATCGATTCTTGTTGAAGCAGCTTACCTAATCCGAATAGATATTTTTAATGGATTTAAATGGAGGAAAAACAATGTTGCCAACTTTTAAAATCACCACCAGTTTCAAGAGAGTTACTCTGCCATATTGAAGACAAATTAGCATTGCGATGTCATGCACTCTGAGTTAACAATGCTGAGGGGAAATAATGCATGTCCTCCACGTCTCATTAAAAGTAGTAAAACTAAATTGGCGTTACCCATTTTACAATTAGTTCGCATCTTGTGAGTTTCCTCTGTGTCTCCTTATAACAATCTCTTGTTAAATGACTAACCATTTGGTTAATCGTGACGCATTGCAAACCTCGGTGCTTTTTCGAAGGACTTTTTTGGCCGACATCGAAGAACAGAAACTTGTGACAAGTTCAGCACCATTATCGCAACCGACCGTTAATTTCTCAAGCAAACGCTTGTGATTGCGCAACTCGCGACTCGTTGACCGAAATAAATGTTCAAGTCCAACTCAGCATTTGTATTCAATTTTTACATCTAATTATAATGTGAATGGGCCGCTATAAAAGGTCTATCCAAATTTTTTACACAGCCCGGTGTTTGTTGCAATCTATGGGTATTTATTCTCTTCTTTTCTCTTGAATGCCTTTAAGTCATTAAAACAGAAATCACATCTACGAGATAATTATTCGATCATAACATTCGAATCGATTATCGGAGAAAAATGTTTGATCGTAAGTAATTGCCATTAACAGAGACATTTTTTGGAATATGGGCGCGGGGCGAAAAACCTATTTCGCAGAAAAACTCGTTTGGATGCTCAGGAGACGCTCCTCTCAAGGTTTTATTATTTTTCAAAAATCTCAAAATTTTGTTCCAGGTATTGTTTTTAAGCATTACTAGTTAAAAGATCACGCGCTAGATACTTATCCACCACATAAACTGAATGAGAGATGTCTGACGTGAAAACTTTCTTCCGCTAGAAAACACTTTTCCTCGGAATTAAAGTAACGTCTGCCCTCTTTTTTGCACAGCTTTTTTTTCAACCATGCAAAACTGTTAATATCTAACATCTTCAGAATTCAGAATACGAGTTATTTGCAAAAAGGGTGCAAGCAGTTATACATCCTTTTATGGAAAAATGCTTCAATTAACACATCATATATTTCGACGGTGCAAGTCCGCAACCACCTACCTTGGTTTGCGATGTTTCAGACTTCCTGCCATACTTTATTTTTAAAATAGAAAATATTTGTGATTTTTCGTCTATGAAGAATTTCGTCTTTCCGAAGAACTGGGTGGAAACTTCAAGGAGTGGTGTCGATTTATTCTCCTTTAAACAATAAATAAAATAGGAGAGGAGATTTTCAAGCATTGCAAACGAAATGCGTAGTTGCAGAGTTGCACCGTCAATTCAAAGGTCCTAATTGAATAGTGTGGACCCAGCTTTATTCTAGCACTCTGTTTTTTTATTTTTGTTTTTTTGTTTGTTTTTTTTTTTCTTCTTGCATAGGTGATATCATAAGAATTCAGAATACGCATTCGTCGGGAATAGCGCGTAAGCCACTGTAAACCCTTTCGCCTAAAATGCCTCAAATTCAACGAAGTCAACGACCGAAATTCAAGATAAAATCAGGCGTAACGTAGAGGCTTCAACCATCGATCTTAACATTACCAGAAATTTATGCTAAACTCCAATTTTCACCATGCACAAACGTGTGGCGATGAATGTAAAATGTTCATCCCGTCATGCGATGTTCAGAAGCACGTCCGTCAATTAACCACTCCAGATTGAAGCGCGTTTCCATGGTAGACCTTGTCTTCTCCCATCATTAGTTCTCGTCGAATAGATTCACCATCGCGAAGGGAGAAACGACGCAAATTAGCTGCGTTCGCCTTGAATGCGCTTTCACCAAATTCGCCCTACAAAATCAGCATACAAGTCGATTGCATCTATGAACGATCTGATAAAATTCGCAGCGATGCACGAACGGCGAAACTGCATTGTTGCAAGATTCCAGGGATTTTTTCATTTCCGTGGGTGAAAAGATTTTTATTCGTGGTAGGTGTGGGGTGCAGGGCAAGAGGGGTGCTATGAGCTGCATTACACCGTCACGCAGAATTCGACAGCATTATAGTTCCACGAGTTCCTGAAGTATACAGATTCGCCTTCATTTAAGAGGGCAGGCAAAATTAAGCTTCTACACGTCAAAATAGTGGTATCAAAATAGCCGGCTGTGTTAGAATGGTTTCCCCCGTTGAAAAATATCGATGATTTTTTGATACCACTATTACTGCTCTTGGGAGCTGATTTTGCCTATCCTGTCTTTTGAAGGCAAATCCATCTCCATAAATGCACCTCTCTTTATCGCCTGAATTAAGACTTTTCATTCGATAGAAATAGCTTTTATAAGACGGATTACGCCAAATAACATAAGGAGTGCTACCTTGTACTATTTGTACCACGGAAGTTTAAATATGGACGTATTTATGCTAAAAGAAGCCAAGACACTTGTGGGAAAGATGAGGTGTTCTCGAGCTGCATAAGAAACAACGTAAAAGTGGGCGTGATTCCTTTTGACATTAAATCAAAAGGAACAAGGACCAAAAATGCTAATTCATGAACCTTGAGCCTGTGACAAGAGCGTTGTGGACAGGGCTCATGATTTAAAGAGCGTTCCCGTCCCTGTGCGGGTCTCAGTCGTCGACGCTGACGTCACTATCGCTTTATAGTTCCCATGCATTCTTACGGCCCCCAACTAAAGACCACACTCCTTCTTCCCCACTCAAGATGTTTAATCCCCAAATTCAGCCAAACTTCGGTGTGTTTTTTCTTTCTTTTTTTTCTTTTTTTTTCTTGTTTTTATTACATGTAAGTACAGTTAGAGTACCTGTATAGCGAGAGTATAGACAGATGTGAAACTCCGAAAATCCATCAGGCCTTCACCGATGCCTCCGCGAATAAAGTTAGGGCCCAGGAATGCAGCCAACCTATGAATTTCAATTATCCAGAGCGATTTACTAATACAATTGTTACGAACCATCGTTTATAAAGCACGTATTTGACTTAGTTTTTGCATACATTTACTCATTTTTGCGGAAGAACGCTCATTTGTATACATTCTTAGCCATCTTGGTTAGAATTGGAATCTGCAGACTGGCAGTGAAATTTTGTGCGTTAGAAGTTGGTTAGAAGGGTGGCTGCCTCTTTGGGCCCTAAGCCCTCCATGAAGCGATCTGTCCATACTCTCGCTATATAGGTACTCTAAGTACAGTCAGCGTGGACTTGCACAAGCCCATCAGAAACCTGCAATTTTTCCGAAAATGTGACAACGACGCCCCACGTGAGGCAACACCCCCGCTGTATCCCGGATTCACGCAGCAGCCGCCGGCGGGCAGGGGGGGGGGCCGGGGTCCAGGGTCAAGTTTCCGGCGCGAACTCACGAAATTGCACGCGAGATGCGCGTTCGTTCCCCGCACGTCCAATTAGCGGGCACCCCCGCGGGGGGCGAGGGGGGGGGGGGTATTGACATTCACCGTTCGCTGTTTAATTGCTGAGAAAACGCGTGCTCGGATGCGAAGAAATCCAGAGAACAGAGACGGGCGCGAGCGCGGGTCGGTGGGTGACGTAACGCCCTGCGAGCACTCACTGAGCAAGTTTACGTGACGGAACTAGTCGCGAGACTGCCCGCCGGTTTTCGGCGAGTCGCTCTTGAACGTCCGCCGAGCGAGCTTTCTTACTGGAAGTAGAGGACTTCCTGTAAAAGTGCGGGGTTGGCAATGGACCGCTAGATTGCGCTTCAGTTAATGCACCACAGTATGTGCTTCCTCAGCAAAATTCCACGCAAAACACCTAGCATGAACTTAAAACTGCGGGGGAGGGAGGCTCGTTAATGAGTTTAACTATAACACTTTGTATTTTCCAGCTATATGAGCGTCAACTTCCCCTTTTTGAAAAAATAGACGTACTCATCGAGGTGTTAAAAGCAGTGGCGTGGCGTGCTTGGCGATATATCTATTGATCTGTCATTTAAACCAATGAGAAAGGATCGACGAACAAGCTGTTCGCAACGAACCCCTCAATTTTCGAGTCTTTACCATAGCTTCAGGGAATTCTCGGTACCCGAACTTTCACGATAAAACGATTCACGAATCACGATTTCAAATTGTGTCAAACATTGAGCTACTATTATTCAGAATTTGGCAGTGCTCAGTCGTACTCAGTCAAACTAAAATCGATATTTTTGACCTCGGGTCGGTTTTCATTTGATTGTGATTCGTAAATTTTGACGAACTTGATCACATTTTATGACACACTCACTGATCCAATCTGTGAAGTCGGTTTGAAAGAACGGACAGGGCTGATGGCCAAAGTGCGTTTTATCCGTGTTGGCGAACCGAGACATTGATACAGATATCAGTGGGACTCTGATGAGGCGAGGTCGTGACCTCTCCCGGTGCCACGGTCATAACGGAGCAGTTGCACAGTGCAATGCCGACTAATACCGTTGCAGATCAGTCAGGAATCACACGCTACGACCTTAGCATTGACTCGCCTTTCCATGACCGTCCGGCTCCGAAGGGCGACAACTATCCCGGATTCATTCACCTTTAAACTCCGTATTCATATTGACGCACTCTTTAAGTCATAAAGCATGCATACACCGGTAGACAGTGAAAATTTTACATAGGTAAAATACTGTAATCGCAAATACTATGACATGTAAAGAGTTCCATTCTACCATGTTGTTACTTATACTGTATTCGCGCTAATTACTAGGCGGGTAAAGATGGGGTCGGCATGAATCGATCGATAAATAAAAACGGGAACTGATTGACACTGATTGAATCGTCAAAATTCAATTGATTCACGAGTTCGTGGATTCACTTACGGGTTTGTCGATCGATTCACGGAGCTGTAGATCGATTAACGAAGTTGTCGATCGATTCACGATTGTCGATATCAAATCTGTGCCGATCGGTTCACTTTTTTATGTTTCGGTCGATTCATATGTCGATCGAATCGACACCGGTTTTTCAATGATTTGTCGATCGAATCGATGTCGATCGATTCACGTTTTCATTTTTCGATCGATTCATGTCGATCGAATCCATCCTCTCCCATATTTAAGGTTTTCTTGTCTCAGTTCGTAGCGGATTGATTGATTTTCTTTGGATGCAATTTTCCGAGACAACCCTTGTGAAAACCCACTGAAAGAGCGGAACGAGTTCAGACTCATCGAAAAAATGCCTAGACTTCTCAAGGTCCGAGGATGGAAGACTCAACGAAGATTACCCGGTGACGTCATCTGTGTGCGATGTTCGTTGCGTTGGTGGTATTCACGTTGAAACGGTGGCTCACTTTCACTGACTACGGCTCAGCGAGGCAGCCAGCCGGTTTACCCCGCGATCAGACTCCCCAGAACAAAGCTTCGGGCTCCTATTTCGCAATAACCAGTATTTAGGGCGATTATCGGACGACGCGACGTCTATGTGAAAGAAGTTGGAGAACTTAGTAATACCTCTGGGTAAAAATCAATAATGAGGTGTGCCGTGTAGGGCGAAAGTTTTTACTGGTTAATCCTTTGTGGAACTTTTCTTCGCTCGTCTATGCTCATTGATATGGTATTGATTTGGTTGGTTCATGCTCAAAGGGATTTAATATTATGCATAAAAAGGGGCATATTTTGCGAGAAGAAGGGAATGGCATGCTTTTGAATTTGGATTCAAAGTTATCAAAGAGCCTTCCTGTTTATATTCAAAGTTTTGTGCAACTTTGGGGGAAAGTTTGGAGGAAATTCGCATTACGAAGATGAAATTCTGTTGGATCAAAAGGGCAATACACTGAAGATTACCCGTCCTGACTCTGTTTGGTACAACTAAAATTCTCTATGCTGCCGTACTAAGGAAGAACACCGTGTGCCATGTGAGCCTTCAGAAGGTGCGGGATATCTACCGGTAAAGTACGGATTTTCTAGGAAACTTGCGAATGTTTTACTCTCAATAAATTAGGGAATTTAATTTACTTTATAATCTGCAGATTCTACAGTATCTGTAGGTGCACTGTCGCCGAAACCTGAAAATAACCCCTTTTTAGCTGTTTTTCAGCAAAAATTAGCACAAAACTTCTCAAATTTGTCGAGGGATAAATGAAAACAGCACCTTACTATAGGAAACGCAGAAATTAGCCCAAATGAAGTGTAAACAGAAAATCAGCTTAAATGTCACACAAACCCTAAACAAGCAGCATTTTTTACAAATGGTGACGAATTTTCGTCTCTTCTTGGGAATGCCAAGGAAAAACATGTTCTCGAACACAAATATTTTTTAACGGGAAAATTGGCAAACTCCGGATGGTCATATGACGTTTTTCCTTAGCACGGCAATAACTGCCGGCTGCACGACTTTACCGTTGTGCTAAGTTAAACGTGCTAAGCCGTATAAGCATTCGAACGTTGCCAAATTTCCATTCAGAGAATATTTATTTTTGAAAAAAGTCAGGAATATTTTTCCATGAAATTTTTAGACTTTTCAGATTGAACTATTAACAAAATTTTTTGGAAAATATGAACAGAAATATTCACACATTTTTCTGAAAATGTGTGCTTTGTTGAAGGAAATTTGGCAACGCTTCATGGCTCATGAGGCGCTTTTCCTCAGCTCGGCAATACGAGACAGCCAGCGCCTCTCAATTGCAACCCACAGCAAGTGTCATATTATTTTAATCTCGTGTATGGACCGTAAGTACCTGCAGCTGGAGGTTAAGCGGAGCTATTTCCCTTCCTGGAAGAAGCACGCACGCGCATTAATAAGGGTTATAATACGCGGTGCGTGGGGTGCCGCCGGTGCACCGCTCAATGGAGCCCCTACACGATCACTTTCGCTTTCGTCCATACGGTTCTTAGCGGCGCCGAGCCGCGAAACCCGCCCCTTCCCCGTTGCTTCTCGGCTGCACTGGCGGGAAGGGACCGGTGAGACAATCATCCCTTCCCCTCCGTCGCACAGAGGGATGAAACGGTCCGTTTTCAGGATTCGAATAAAGTCCAAGTTTAGAAAACCAGCATGTTGGTTGCAAGCAACCTGGCATGCAAAGTGCATTCGAAGCGCTGAGTGCAAAAAAGGCATATCTTGGTTACAGTGTCTTAAAATCTGAGCTGACGTCTCACCCATTATAATTGAAGCAAATGTATGTAATTTGTGGGAACTTGTACTGAATATTATTTATGATTTCACAGTGCTGAAAAAGTAAAATTTCGGAAAATTAACCCAATGATTTCCTTTCTAAAATAAGAGTTAGCACAGAAGATTCTGAAACACCGCAACCGGGAAATGCCCTTTTTGCACCCAACACATCATTTACCGTCCAACTACCGTGGCATCTAAATATGGTTCCAAAAGTCACTAATGTTCACACTAGACTGAAAAGTAACTGCAAAAGATTTAACTTAAAGAACTAAATTTGTGTGTAAAATTCGTATTGAAATTCACTGAATATACACTCTTGAAAATTTTGGAGTGAAATTCTGTGCCGGAGTCTATATAGCGAAATATAGTCCAAATACCCCTGAGTGATATGAATGCGGAATCTATTCTCTTTACAGAGTGAAATTACAGAGCGGAAGCCACTCATTTTGCTGCGTGTCATGCGCTTTTATGATGCTAATTTTACTTCGCATTCACACCATTTGGGATTTTTGGGTACTATATGTGTAGAATCCGGCACCGAATTCCACTCCGCTATTTTTAATGGAGTACTATCAAAGAACCTGTCAAAATTGAATGGGGCATTTTTACGTGGGGAAAAAAAAAACAAAGCAAGACGGGTTTTACAAAACCAAAAAGGGTCTACCTTAAATTTGAGAGTATGTTGGAGTTTTTTAGCTAACGTGCGTTAAAGATTCAGCATGAAGCATAATTTTTTTGTAAAATTTGAGAGGTTGTGCAGTCAGTGGGTTCACTCCGAGGAAAAATATAAAAATATATTCGGAATCCAGTCTTGAAAACACCATGCACAACACAGAAGTGGACACAGGGTGCAGACTATTGAAATGCCACTTATCCTCGCTTGTTTGCTTTTCGCGGCACTGTGCCACACCCTCGTCAATGACTCCCTTTCCCCCTTTGCAGTCCCTCAACCCCTCTCCAGACAGTCGCGGCTCGTATTTACAATCCGCCGGTTGCCCGTCTTCGAATCCTCTTTCCGCGTCCCGAATTCCCAGTTTCTTCGTTTATTTGACCAGAATTACGGCCTGTATATCGTCAATTTTACTCCATCGCCGATAAAACTTTAACGTGTGCCTAAATTTTGCAGTTCTAAGTTCTCAATAGCCGCATAATCCGCGTTGAAAGGAGATAAACATCGAAGTGAAAAGTGAGGTTATGTTGTGTTTCTCCCCGTTGAGTCACGGCGATCGATACTGCACGTCAACAAACTGAGTGAAAGCTCGTATTCGCTTGTGATTATAGGTTATTTTCTGTTTTGCTAGTCAATGCCAATTAGTGAACTTTACAATTATTGTTTTCTTATTTTGGCAAACATCATTTAATTTTTGCGTGTTAGTTTCGGCCAGATTTTCTAACGCATTTATTGCTTAAGTTCCTCTAAAAATTATCGGTAAAATACGCTGAAACTCTTTAAAAGTTATCATTCCCCCAGCTTAATACCAAATTCTCACTAGTTTCTTTACGTACTTGTTTGAAGTTCAACTGACGATACTATTTCATTTCCTTGAATAAAATCTGAGTGGCGGAAAATTTTCATTTCAGTATCAACGTTCGCTTTTAAAACATAAAGCATCTTCTCTAGTTGATTTTTAACTTTCACAAAGATTTTCCTCAACAAAACTTCAATAGTTTGTTTCTTTTACCTAACTTTCCTCACAAATTTTAAAAAAATTCAACCATTCTACGTTTTATGATATTTACATCAATCTTGAAAATTCATCCGGCGATAAGAAAGCTCGAGTACTTTACTGAAGCTCCCAAGGCAGAACAGCCCTAAATCTTTAAGTTCCGTTCGATCTTGATCAACTATTACCGTGCACCGAGTTACCCAATGTGCAATCCCGAATTATCATGCACATCGTAATTACATCCTTAGTGCACGTGTGACCGTGTGCAGCCGCGCGTAAGGCGCATCGTGTTACGTAAACCCAAATTCGTATTCTAACGCGGTGTCAGTTCCTCCACGGGTTTTGTTTCCGAAACGGGACCAAAACGCCTGATCCCTGTCAAGTGTCAATCAAGTTTAGTGTGTGATGTTTCAAAGCCGTGGATGTGGCAAGTGCTCGGAATGAGAGGCGTCTGAGAACTCAATTAACAGTTGATTTTGGTTGAAACGAGGAAGAAAACAGGATAATTTAACATGGGGAATCTAATCACATGTGGACCGAATAGAGCCATCATTATTTCAGGTAAGATTTGATTCGGTTGCAGGAATTAAGAAACAGTTTTTTACGGATTATACTGAAAAAATTATGGTAATTCCCACCAGAAGTTAGGTAAAGTCTACTACTTACTAGAGGAGAAGAAACACTACAAATTTTAGCCCGAGTCTACTTGGTGTTTGACGCAGTAATAATACCGGGTAAAAGCAGGAGACTTCTGTAAGCACTTTCCATGAGTTTGGTAAATGCTACGAGGATCCTGGTTTTTGCTACCGCTGAGTCTGTTCTTGATTACGATACTTATAAATCTATGTCACGCACCTTTGGCAAAATCGCCCAGAGCACTTTTTTTTGCCCGTTCGTGAAAACCAATATAATTTATAAAAATTTGCAGGTCATTAAAATCAAGTTTACAATATTTTTTCATTCAATTTATTGTCAGAGTTTTTCATTTAAATTTACGATTTTTTTTACAAGCACGGTGTGCAACTAAACAAAACCGATCAATAGCTTAATGTTTTACCTGGGAAGACTCAAATGAAATGAACAGAAAAAGGATATTTCTGGTGAAATTAGCTATTCAATTTTGTTCAGATTTTATTTCAAAAGCTGGATTTCAGAAAATTCATGAAAGCCTGAAATTCGTCGACCAATCAGAGATCGGTCCTTCTTTCTTAGTAAAAAGATTGAGATGACAAAAATTTCTCTACGTATATACGAACGCACATTGTTATTCAGATACTACAACTAAAAACAACTCCCGTATACATTTCTGAAGTGGCGAGAAAACCGAAAGTGCCTTCAATTTTGAACATGCAACACGCACATCCGTAGAACACGAATAGTTGCATCAAGGCGCCACAACCAACTCGCGATCAGTGTAGTATTCGAAGGTCGTTATACTCGCCGATTTGAACAGGTCGTTCTAAAAAAGACGTATGGCACAGAAATTCTAACACGAGAAAAACAGTGAACAAGTTTTTATCGACCCGTTCTAAATTTTAGAGCTCTGAAATATCAGAGCGATGAATTATTTATTCAAATTATCATGTAATCTACGATTAAACGGATCGATTAATACAGTTTCTGAGTGGAGATCTTTGATATGGAAATCGGAGACACGCATTTGACATTTGCCATCTATAAGTGACCGTTGACGGGGAAAAAAGCTTAGTATACACAAGAATTTAAAAGTATATTTATTGATATTGGAACAAAAAAAGTATTTTACACTCAAGGAAATCTATTAACCATAACTACACTTCTGGTACTGTTAACCACGTGTCTGATAAATTTTCTTGTAATTCAGTAGATGCTATACGAGACTGAAACTAAATTCTAAATTTCCTGAGGAAAAAGCTAAAAAAAAGTGTAGCCCATGAAGTCACGACATGAGACTATTTGGCCCTCTTAAATTAAGGTAGGCTTAACATAATGCCGATTGGAGCGTCACCGGAGAACTCTGAAAGCTAATGGTGAAATGATGAAATAGACGGACGCAAAAAACCACCACGACCTCTCTCTCTTTTTGGTGAAACTACTTGGCAGTTGTTCGTGAGAACCGGCCGGTATTTTTGCAATGATGAAGTGGTGCTAAAGTATCTACGTGACCGTCCATTGGCCAAAAAAGAAAGAGAAAAAAAGAGAAGTTGGTTGTGAAGGCTTGCCTATAAAAATTTTGTCACTCTCAATTTCAACCTAACTGAGATACTTAAATACTTGTTATCTCCATGGATGCTTAAATTGAATTACATGCGCACGTCAAGTTACAATAGGACAAACTGCAACCAAAAATGGACGAATAACAATAAAAAGTCAACATGTTTAGTTTACATTAGATTGGTGAATTTAAAGATTTCGCGCGCAAAAAAACCGAAATTAAAGTAGATCAAGGTAGCCACTAAAACAAATCTCATCCATTTGGTGAATATTCCGTGCTTAATTTGAGGACAATTGTAATCCCTCCTTTAATTTGCGAACCGTTTGAACAAATTAAGAGAAATTTAGAATGCACAAGAAATTATTCCATCGTCAAATGCACAGGAGTTAATTTAGCGTTCTATTTAATTTTGACGCGAGTGGATTTTGGTTTTTTGTGACAGAAATTTTGATTTGATGTATCTACCAAAAACGCTATTTTTCTTACTTATGAGTTGAATTTGGAACATTTTTGTTCACCGTGTATTCTACCTGGAATTTGATGGAGGAACACGAATTAAATACCTTAATTTCGTATCGCGTGAAAAAAAAAAAAAAAAAAAAAAAAAAAAAAAAAAAAAAAAAAAAACACATTGGATCTAGAGTCCAGAATCTTAAAAACATCAACAAGAAAAAATACTCTTGATTCAATCGGATTTTTGCTTAAATCAAGAACCAAACCTCTTAATTTGAGCGGATTTCCTTTTGATTTCAGCAAAAATCTGATCGAATCAAGATTATTTTTTCTTGTCAATGTTTTCAAGGGTCTGGACTCTAGATCCAATGTGTTTTTTTCCAGTGTGGTAGCCCTAAAAAGTAGGATAAGTATGAACACGGTCACAATACGTAACAGCGTCCAGTTAATGGTTCAAACAATGATAAAGTGGCTGAAAATTACGAATCAAGTTCGAGCGCAGATTTTTTCGCAACACACGGGATGACTGTTGATTTTTCGGGACACGTCGAGGTTTCCACACCTGTTGGTCGGTGCCGCGTGGGAGCGAGGATGGGGTGACAGAGCGAATCCATGACAAATTGAGATCATCCCGGGATAAGTGCCCGGGCCGACACACTTGCGAAAGTTCGCCGCTCGTAAACTCTCCATTACGAGGTTTCGTACTCATAATAAGCCATTTCACCGCTGAAATTACGCGGCGCCAAGGTTACGGGAACTGTGGCGCGGGTTCAGGAAACTCGCGAGTTATGGTTCAAGGCGCTTTTGCGGCGAGTTGACACTTACGCTGTTTCTGTGCTGCGGACTCGGTGCTTTCGGAGCTTTCTGCTTTTATGGGACTGAGTATTCTGCATAGAGTACTTGGCGCTACGTTCTGCTCGACGAGTCCCGAACCCAGTGTGCGCCGAGCTTCTGTCACTTTTTCGATCCATGTTCGATCCAAAATGGCAGTGTGGAATACGTAGTAATTCCTATCTTCTTTGTTAACATCGGATAGCCGGGTCCGCATGTATCGAAAACAATCGATCATGTATGGGAAAAGTGAACCGGCAGGAGTCTCGGAATCCGGGACTTGGAAAATGCTTAAAAGTGGCGCCAGCTCTCCCACTTACGCTACGACTCTATGCACTCTATGGTATTCTGCCGCGCATACTCTTTTCAAGCGCCTTCAATTTTGAGCATGCAACACGGACATCTGTGGAACACGAATAGTTGCATCAAGGCGCTACAGCCAACTCAATCTACTCTTTTTAAGCGCCTTCAATTTTGAGCATGCAACACGCACATCCGTAGAACACGAATAGTTGCATCAAGGAGCCACATGAGGAGAAGCGTAACTTACAGTTTTCATTGAATTTTTTTATGAATTTTCTTCATTTTTTAAGACATATGCGTAGAAAATGTCAAGGATATGTTTTGGTAGCTTTGCTACTTAGAATACAAAGCTTATTCTATCGTACTGTAACTTTGAAATGGAGGTGTCCCAGACAGAGGCAAATAGTCAAATCAGGCATTTTGTCAAACGTCTCGGCAAAATAGTCTTTTCCTACTTAGATTGAACGCCTGATTCTATAGCTAATTTTAGACAAATAATTCATTGATCATGTAAGAAAGGATTTTCTGTAAAAATTTGTATCATAGAAATGTATTTTAAACGGTTTTTAGCTCCTGATATGTTGTAATTTTCAGCATGCTATAAAACACAGAATTTTTAAAAATTTTAACATCTAAATACATGCGGAGCAACTGAAGACGGATGATGAAAGAGAGCTTGTAGATTTATTGAGTCACTTTATCCAAAATATTGCAAACTCGTGAGATTTTGTCGTAAATTTACAAAATTTTGTGAACTGTAAAACATTTGATTATCTGCGTAGGCATTTGATAAAATGCCTGATTTGCCGTATTGCCCACAACAGAGGCACATGTTTCGACTTCAGCCGATGCAATTTCTCTCATACGCGGCAACGTTGCATTTCGATTATCCAAAGCGCTCTAATACAGTGTTTTAGTAGTGAAGTTTTATTGGTAATAGCTGATTACGGCTGTGTCGAAGCGGTGTATTCCCCGCAGGTGGGGCGGAGGAAGGCCTGACCCCGGCGCCAAGCCCCAACCGGATTATTTGTTTTTATGTAATAATGTTGTCATGCGAGTTAAAGCAATTGGGTTATTATCAAGTTCTCAGATCGTTCATTTCGGTCATCGTCGTCGCGCGGTGCTCTCGTTATGGCGTTTTCTTCAAATCTTGCAACTGCTCTCAGAAGCTCCAGGTGACCCTTCATTCGTGAGGTTCTGCGGGCTGATCATTGAAATTGATAGACAAAGCAATAGGCAAAGAAGACAAAAAGGATATTGAGGGATCCTATTGGTGGAAGCGGGTGGTTGCTATGGACAAAGGACGTAGGTAATAGACTAACTAACGGCAACCCACGAGAAACCCGATAGTTCGTCCATCATTTTCTCCCCTAGTCTATAAGAACTACCGAGTTCAACCAATAGGATCGCTCTACACTCCTTATGTCTTCTTTGTCTAAAGCTTTGTCTATAAATTATAATAATCGGCCCGCTGATCGGTAGTCTAGGCACACAAGAAGCACATAGATTATTTTAAGATGTGGAAGTCATATTCCGCCTATTTTCTAAATGAGGAATGATTCAGTTACAAGAATTTTTGATCGTCTACGAAAGAAGGCCCCGAAGAACTTAAAATGGAACACTAGACAAGGTACAAATTTCGGCATGCTCAACGGGGTGATAAATGAAATTTATAAACAAAGCTATGAAATTTATAGACATAGAGAAAATGGAGCAATCCTTTTTCTAGACCAAGACATGAGTAACATGCCGAACATCTCCCGTAAATTCACCAAATTTC